TATATTTTTGAGGTAACTCGGATTGTGACAATAGAAAGGGTCTGAGTTTTTTATGTTAAAACGGTTGGTGATTAAGGGAACAATTCCATCGCAGATTGTTTATTTTTCTTAGAAAGGGGAATTTAGTTGGCTGCACATAATCGTTATTTTGTTCGTTTTTCTTGCTTGTCTCATCACATACGTAGGATAAATTACATATCGTAAAAAATGATAATAATCATCCAAAAGGAAAACAAAACAGTAATAAGCTAGCTAGAGCTATATAAGAGCGTTTCTAACATCTGTTGCGTGTAAACCGAAATACAAGGATAAAGTATTATATATTGATTTTGATGGAACCAATAAGAACAAATAACAACAAATTATTAACTATGTTTAATCGCCTTATCACGTTTCAATTTGTTACCAGCACTCTTTTTTGTTCTTTTTTTTTTAATTACTGTTTTACTGACTTGGTTGAAGCAAGTTACGTAATAATTCCAAGAACTATGCTACAAAGTGAAGCCTCTAACTGTGCGTAATTTATTTTGCCATCAAAAGGCGATTAAAAATCTTTCCCTGAAAAAGAAAACGAAGAGAATCGATCGGCAAAGGCACCGGTAGCTAGAGACTGAGACATGTATTTGTCTTGTATATGAAATGCGAAGGGGTTAGATAAATATTTAGCATTATATATTATTTAATGGATATGTATATTTTTTTTATTGAGTTGGGATAAAATTATGAGTCTCTTATTGGGTGCATAAATGAAATTTTTTTAGAAATTTGCATTAGAAAATTAAAATTTCAAATTATGTGCTTCCATTGAGAGTAATCTCTGCCACTGCTTAAATCAACATATTATTAATTACTTATGAATTATAATTAGTATCTATTCAAGAATTTCCATGCAAATAATTTACATCAAAATATGAGGCTTCCAAGAAATTAGAAATCTTGGATTTGGACTGTTTTATAGACGCGGTGAAATTAATGGAACACAAAGTATACGATAGTATCTATGGACTATACATGAGATGTTTTTTTTTTAAAAAAAAAAAAAAAATTGTTTTATCTTTTTTATTTGAAAAGTAATTTGTACCTGAAAATGATTTACGTCATAACAAACATAGAAGGCCTCAAGAATGCATTGTTTTCCTACCCAAAGATAGAATATGTCTTAATTCTTTGATTATGCTTCTCACTAGTTTGACAGGTTGTAAAGACACACAATAAAAGAAAATTAAAAAAAAAAAAAAAAAAAGAAGAAGAGAGCAAATGCTTCTAGTATGTCACAGTTGTTTTCTTGTTTCCTTTTGCTGCACAATGTTTTTATTGTTGTGTTCTTATTTTATTATTTTTAATCATTTTGAAAGTATTTTAAAACCAACTTATTATTCCACCGATCTATATTTTAACGCCACATCCTTAAAGTGCTCTAGAATTTTTCGTCCCAACCTAATTAATTGTTACAAATTTTCTCATTACTCCTGACATATAAAACAACTTATTATAATTTGAGTCCATTTATTTAGTCCTTTTCTCCACTAAACAAGTTAACCCTCACCCTAATTTTGAGGAACAAAGTCAATAATAAAACTAACAACATATATAAACGTATTTTATTATAATAGCTAGAGCTAAGTACGTAGACTTAGTTTGCACTTAAAAAACGACAAGAAAATAATAACTAAACCGTAGACTCCGTCTTTTTTTTTTTTTTTCCCAAATATCTAGTTACTTTCTGGTGTAGTTTATAAAACCATATATGGTTTTATAAACCGGTTCCAATGCTGCCCCCAGACATTTATTGAGAGGCGGCAGACTTAGCAACACCCCGTTTCACAGAACTCTTCATAGTAACACAGCCGCGTGAAATTAATTCTCAAGTCAATTCTCCATTTATGTACGTAGGAAGATCATTCTCTGCTTTTTTTTTTTCTGGCTAAGAAAAATTCTTGGAGCATTTAAGGATCATTGTGGAAAAAAAAAATTGATTTTATAATACATTAGCGTTGCCTTCAAAAGAAAAATAACAAAAAAATTTCCCGTTTAAAAAATAAAAGCAATGCCATTGGACCTAAACTCCGAATACCGAAACATTGTTATTTTGCTTGACTGTCTTACCTGAAAGAGTATAACTATATACTTATATATTTCCTTTCTGTAAATTGTATGCAAGAGAGCTTACAAGACGTATTAAGTAAGCAATTAATCCTCGATTCAGCGAAAAAGAAGAGAAAAATCTGAAGGTTCATTTTGTTAACGCGTTAAAGTCAATGATTCTAATTTATTGACGGAAACTTTGTTAGAGAATAAATTTTTAAATTTAAATTCTTTAAGAGATTCAGATAAAAAACACTGTAGCAAAATTAGAATCACGAGTTTGAATACATCTCTCAAACATCCCCTCGGTGACTATATAGTTTATTTTCTATTAAAAAAAAGATTAATAGATAGCTCTTTTTTTTTAATTTACTATATTATTCTCTCTCTTTCCATATATTTCTCCTCAATTATCTCAGAGTGCATTTGATTGCAGTGAGAAAATGGTAATAGTAATGAGAATGAGACTGATAATGGTAATGAAATGGAAAAGAAAATTGATTCATTTATTTAGTTATAATTTTAGGAATACTATAGAATAAAACTTGAATATTTTTATATTAACAAAATTACCTTTATTATTATACATAACTAATTAATATAATATATAAAATGTAATATAATATAATAAAATTATTATTATATAATATATTAGATAATTATGATATAGAATATACTAATATTATTAAAATTGATAATATAA